TAAAGAAACTTTATGATTCAAATATTTTCTCAAAATTTGATATGAAATCAAGTTTTTGGCAAATACAAATACATGAAGATGATAAGTACAAAACAGGTTTTAATGTTCCATTTGGTCATTATGAATGAAATGTTATGCCTTTCGGTTTAAAAAATGCACCCTCAGAATTTCAAAACATAATGAATGATATCATCATTCCTATAAGCAATTTTGCCATTGTTTATATTGATGATGTATTATTTTTTTCAAAATAATCAACATTTTAAACATTTAAATATTTTTTATAATTTAATTTACAAAAATGGATTAGTCGTATCTGCTCCAAAAATGAGTCTTTTTCAAACACAAATAAGATTTTTAGGACATGAGATTGTTAATCAAACCATTAGGCCTATTCAAAGAAGTTTAGAATTTGCAAATAAATTCCAGATGAAATTAAAGATAAAACTCAGTTACAAAGATTTTAGGTTGTCTAAATTATGTTCATGATTTCTTTAAAGATTTAGGAATTATATATAAACCCCTTTATCAAAGATTAAAAAAGAAACCAGAACCATAGACTCAAAAACATACTCAGATTGTCAAGCATATCAAAGAAAAGGTCAAATATTTACCATGTCTTAATATACCCCATCCTAATGCTCAAATTATCGTAGAGACAGATGCTAGTGATTTAGGAGTTGGAGGAATACTTAAACAAAAGATAGATAACAAAAATAATGAAGAATTAGTTAGACATTTTTCTGGAAGCTGGAATGATACTCAAAAGAATTACTCAACTGTTAAGAAAGAAGTTTTAAGTATCGTTTTATGTATTAAAAAATTTGAAGATGAATTATACATGAAACCATTTTTGCTAAGTGTCGATTATCAATCAGCAAAACCAATTTTAGAAATGATGTTAAGAACATTATTTCAAAACAATTTTTTGCAAGATGGCAAGCCTTGCTAAGTAACTTTGATTTTCAAATAGAATTTATTAAAGGAAAAAATAATTCTTTACCATATTTTTTATCAAGAGAATTTTTACTAGGAAAATGAAGCCTGTATTATCCCCCCAAACACCAGATCAAAAAAAGAAGAGTGTCGTAGTTGTTGGTCAAACTTCAAAGAGTGTTCCAGCCACTTGTCAAACTCCCTCAGACCTTGTTGTTCAAAATAGGTTTTCTCCGTTGACAAATAATCCAACTTATTCTCAATTKATTCAAAATCCTGTTATGCTTTCTCCAACTACCCCTTCTCAAAAGAAAAACCTTGTTACCTTAAGATCCTACAAGCTTGTCAATACTCCTCGAAAGATTCTTCCTCAAACCAAGTCCAGTAGTTATATTACAAACCCAAATGAACAGTTCGTCAAAATCCTTGAACCTAATGAGGTTCTTGCTTACAAAGTCAGTTTTTCAAAACTCTTAGAAACTGCTTTTCCAAAAGATTCTCTCTACATAGGATGTAAACCCAGAGATTACTATGAAGTCATATTAGCAGATACTGGTTCTGTTAATATTACTCATATCAAGAATCCTCAACAACATTCTTCATACACCATAGACTATTCAAAAGTTCAGATCTTTAGAGTCCTTACTCAAGTCGATTGGGGACTAAAACCTTTTGCAAACAAAACCTTGTCAAAMTATCCTCAGATTCCTAGYTATAATTATTATGATTATCAAGATGCTTGGTTCAACRTTTTCTACCTAAGATGTTTCTCACATTCATGGTTCATCTTTTTCGATAAGAATTTCAATTTTAACCATGGATATCCTGAGTGGATGATCAAATGGTTTCAGTATTTAGGAAATATAATTGAAGCTTTTCCTAAGCCAGTTCAAGATGGATTTTCAAAATTTCAAGAACTATATCCTCAAAAGATTTCCAAAGGTGAATATCTCCTCCAATTCACTATTTTGTTCAAAATTCCATGGATCTTAACATGGAAATTCTTAGTGAAAGAAAAAGAAACCACTTCCTCAACATTTCTATACCGCGTATCAAATGTTAAGTGGTGGGACAAGTTACCTGCTGATCAAACGATAAAAATGATAATCCAAGGAGTTGTTAATTATTTTACTAAATCCAAAGGCTTCGGTGTTCCAAGTGTTAAAACCCAGATCTGACAATTGAACAATTTAATAAGGAAATTCAAGAGAAATTTGTAGAAGAAGATGAAATAGAAATCGACGGCGCTTTCTTTATTGAATTGAAAATTACAAACTCTCAAGAACCCTAATCGACTCTCATGAGATGTATCTGAATCTATGTGTTTACAATAAATTCTCTATTTTCTCACATCTATTTTTCTATACCTGAAACACTACTTATATAGGCAGTAATTCATGATAATCTGAATAAGATAAGCATTATCCAAAATAGGATTAGCCTTATCCAGAATAGGATTCTGAAGATAGTCGTCTTGAAGGACCAGAGGATAGACCGACCAGAGAGGCTCTGGTCCTCCAGAGGCTCTGGTCAATACAACCAGAGGCTCTGGTCCTCTTCACCTCCAGAGGTTCTGGTCAATACAACCAGAGGCTCTGGTCCTCTTCACCTCCAGAGGCTCTGGTCCTGCTTACAGAGGCTCTGGTGTTTCTCACAGAGGCTCTGGTTCT